GGCCTCGCCCCGCTCCCCGGGGGCCCCGCCCAGACAGAGGCGACCCTACAATAACAAAGCCCGAGAGTCCCAGCACCAATCGCCCACAAGCCCCAAGGGGGGGAGCTGCCCCAACCCCCTCCCGCACCCAGGAGACCCTACAATAACCAGCCCACGGACCCCCCCCCCCAGGGGGTGCCCGCCTCTGCCCCGCAGGCCCCCCTACAGTCACTAACCCAGCCCCCTATTGCCCCCCTCCCCCAGGGTACAGGGTACCAGCCCCCGGGCCCCTCCCCCTCTCAGGCGACCCTACAATAACAAACCCAATTCGCCCCCTACCATGCTGGCAACTCCCGGCGATCCGCAGCTCTGTCCCCACAGCACGTGGGCGACCCGGCCGCCCAACACCAGGGCCTCTCATTGGCCCAGGCTGCCCGGCCTATCAGAGAGCGGGATGCTCAACTGGGCCAGGGCGATGTTTTGCCCCTCACAAAGATGGCGGCCCATGGTGGGGAGAGAGTCACGTGGTGCAGTCCCCCCCCCCCTCCCCGTTGCCCCTCGCAAAGATGGCGGCCGAAGGGAATGGGGCAGGTTTACCCTTTACAAACATGGCGGCGAGACGGGGACGGCGCCGCGCTTGCCCTCAACCAAGATGGCCGCCGCTTCGTTTTCGCATGGGGGAAACAGCTCTGTCCAATCAGCGGCTTCTCCCGGCCTTCTCTGGAGGGTGATTGGAGCGTCTCGCCCAAGCCCTTAGCTCTGATTGGAGAACATTGGGGAGGCTCCGCCCCACTGGGAAGCCGGGATTGGCTGGTTTCCAAGGTCATGTGCTCGGGCGAAGGGGAGGGGAGGGGGAACAGCCGGGATCGCTCGGTCTGGGGTAGGTGCTGGAGGAGCCAGGTGGGGGCGCGCCTGGGGGGAAGGGCCGAGGGGGGGCGGTGCCAGGGGGAGGGACCGAGGGGGGTCAGTGGGGGGGTGGATCCAGGGGGGCAGGTGGCGGGGGGGCGGTGCCAGGGGGCAGGTACCGAGGGGGGTCAGTGGGGGGGTGGATCCAGGGGGGCAGGTGGCGGGGGGGCGGTGCCAGGGGGCAGGTACCGAGGGG